TCATGCTTAGGTATGCGCCATTGTCTTTTGTCTATAAGTTTTCTAGACTACTGGTAAACAATATATATGGAATGTATCCACCCTATTTCGCTTAAGATGATAGCTTATTACCGTATCGCCTTAAACAAAGAAGGATGAATACATCTCATATTGCCTGTTGGCCTTAACCAGACTCAAGGATATCCTAGCCTCATCCTTATTTTGAGTTCTTTTCCTGCTCTTTCTCTCAAGACTTCTCCTTAAGTCCATACTACAGCCATAAATAGCTTGTAGTTAACTTCCTACACTCGTTCCTCTTATTCAAGATATTGGCGGTTTTTTTAATTTCTAAATACTCCCTAATCTCAAACTCTGATGTGAAGCCTCCATATCCTACAAAACTTCGTGTCATAGACTAGTCTATAAAGTGTCCGGTACCAGTCTTGTGCTCTGTCAATTAATATTTTTTTGACATATAGACCATTGCAATTCGCTTTATGTTTTAATAATCTCTTCTCGATGAGGGGCATACAACACGAGTACAAGACTTGTTGACACCTTGATCTAGAAATAGGTTTTAACTATTCTGCAAGATAAGTCAGTGCTCGTTTCTATCTATACATTATTCTGATGTTCCATTTCCTCACTAGATCACCTAACCTTTTCGTAAGTAGACAGGAAAACGAAATTAAGAATCGAGTAGAATGGTTTCTCTGTCCATCCTCTTCTAAATAACAACATCTCCTTCCTGTTTTTAAACATCGAAACGTCTATTAGTCTTAACGAGTCATTTTTTTGAAATAATATATCTCCCAATTTAAGGATTTCATGATCCCTTTGCTTTGCTTCTGATAGACACAGGCTCTTTATTTTCATTGATTTCATAATTTCTGCTTTAAACCCATATGTTTGATTGGATAAGAAGTTAATAATTAAACCCGCGTGTGTGAGTTTCCTATCCATGTTACCACGCAACCTATTACCTTTTTCTATCACCAATACATCCGGACATGACAGGTTATTCTCTTTATATACTTCGGTGCTAAAGTTAGTAATGCCATCTAATCTATTAATTAGCTCAAGAAATTCGTCCTATCTATCTTTGCCGTGTGGGGACTTCCATATTGTATGAAAGTCTACGATAAACATATTCGTAGGTCGATCTCACTAGAAGAGGACGGCTTATTCTCTACAACGATGTTCTTTAGAAGATTCATCTACACTTGCTTTTTATTCGTATATACTATACAAGATCCCATAGTCAAGCCCTGAGTTTGCTTGCATAGTTTTCCATTGAAGATAAAATATTTAATATTCATGATTTAATCACTGCCTAACTTTTTACCTGTTATGATCTCAGGATGTTAAGCTAAGGTTAACTCTAATATCTTCATTTTTCCGCTTATCGGAATATTAGGGTACATCGACACTACATTGAAGCTTATCTGTAAATCTCCTTTTACCATTGCTTGATTATCTACTAACTTTATAGAGTGCTAAGAATTCCTTATTGAAAACTTTAATGCACCAGAGCTTTTCTTTAACTGTGTACAAAATAATCGTGATATTTTTTTCATCAAGTGGCTTCAATTATTTTACAATTATCCGAGAAGGGGTACTTTTTATTTATTTCGTGTATATCGTGCGCGGTTAGAGGTCTAGCATCTAACTGGTAAAATGCATTTATTTGTCCATCCAGGTTGGATTATAATAAACGGCTTGTAAAGGTCTATATGTCAAAAATATTAATTCACTGAGCACAAGGCTGGTACCGGACACTTTATAGACTGGTCTATGACACGAAGTTTTGCAGGGTATAGAGACTTCACATCAAAGGGTAAGATTAGGGAGTATTTAGAAATTAACAAAACCGCCAATATCCTGAATAGTAGGAACGAGTGTAGGAAGTTGGTTACAAACTACTTATGGCTGTTAGATGGACTTAAAGAGAGGTAGTGAGAGAAAGAACAGGAAAAGCACTTAACAATAGAAGGAGGCTGAGATACCCTCGAGTCTGGTTAAGACTAACAGACAATATGAGATGTATTCATCCTTCTTTGTTTAAGGCGATACGGTAATAAGTTATCATCTTAAGCGAAATGGGGTGGATACATCTCATATATTGTTTTCCAGTAGTCTAGAAAACTTATAGACAAATGACAATGGCGCATACGTAAGCATGAGTCAATATTCGAAAATCGTATGCTAGTTTATTTACGTAAGGAAACAACTTTCACCTCATTCACTTCCTTTTCATGAATTAAATTCACTTATCTGCAAGCATTTCGATTAAGTTTTAGGTAGTCAACACTATCATGTAATGCCTTATTATGATCGCAAGTATGGGTATAAAAAGTAACTAGGCTTGCAGTCAACCAACTGTTCTCTTGGTTGATTATATTGGTGCAGTATTTCGTAAAGTATGGGTTATTGCTCTGCTGATGTCTGTCTTAGTACAGGTGAAGGCCTGGCACAGGTTTATCGGAAAGCTGAGGACTTTTTCGCGCAATCTAACAAACTTCAATCCACATCAATCCTTCTTCGGTTTCTGGTGAGTTCAATTCACC